CTTATATTATTTTAGCCGTAGATTATGTTTCTAAATGGGTGGTAGCTAAGGCACTCAGAATAATGATGCTAAAACTACAGTTAATTTTTTGAAAAATACTATTTTTCCAGGTTTGGCACGCCAAGGGCTATAATAAGCGATAGAGGAACACATTTCATAAACTGAGTGATCGAATCATTGATGAAGAAATTTGGAGTAAATCAAAGAATAACTACCGCTTACCATCCATAAATAATGGACAGACTGAAGTATCAAATCGGGAAATTAAAATAATTCTTGAAAAATTGTTAAACTAGACCGAAAGGATTGGAGTTTTAAATTAACTGATGAACTTGGGCATATCGAACCACTTATAAAGGTCCCTTTGGGATGTCACCATACCGGCTTGTTTTCGATAAACCACGCCATTTACCAGTTGAGTTAGAACATCGGGCTTATTGGGCCGTTAAACAATGTAACATGGACCTGGATGCAATTGGCGAAGCTCGAAAATTACACATTCAAGAACTTGAAGAAATTCAAAGAAATGCATATGATAGTGCTAAGATATTTAAAGAAAAAACAAAAAAAAATCACGATAGTAGAATTTCTTTTAAAACTTTTTTTGTCGGTCAAAAGGTTTTATTATTTAACTCCAAATTTAAACTTTTTGCAGGAAAGCTCAAATCAAAATGGCTCGGACCGTTTACAGTAACTCAAGTATTTCCTCATGGTCTTGTTGAAGTTGAAGATAACTGAGGAGTTTGATTTAAAGTCAATGGTCAAAGGTTGAAACCGTATTATGAGAATGCTCCGGTAGGTCTAATTGAAGAAATTAATTTAGAGGAGCCCACACTTTGAAAAATCAGGTCGTCGAGCTAACGACGTTAAACAAAAGCGTTTGATGGGAGGCAACCCATTTCATTCTATTTTTGTTTTTATTTTTTTTATTTCATTTTATTTTTATTTTTATTTTTGTTTTATTTCATTTTATTTTTAGCAAACTAAATTTCATTATATTTATTTTATTTTGATTATTTTATTTTATTTTTCTCTAAACATATCAGAAATTCGATCGAAATTTAACGAAAGAATAGTGTTTCAAGTCTGGAAGTAGGAGGCAGACGCACATTAGCATAACCCAACCCCAGGAGGCGCACGTTAACACACCTCAATTTTTGTTCCATCCTCTGTCAAAAATTCCAAGTTTGAAGCTACTCTTGTTTCAAATTTCTATTTATGGGCCCCACCTTATCTATCACTATCTCAACCTTTACAATTCTAAACCCATCCCAACACTCTTTCATTCCAACTTTTTAGTTTGACTAAAAATCAAACTCTTTTTCTTTTCTTTTTTATTCCCCACGTGAAAAGCCCCACCATAAGCCAACAATCTTCTTTCTTCATTCCAGTCGCACGCCCCTTACCCTTCATTTCTTTGTTTCTTTTGATCAGCCACCATAAACCTTACATCACCACGGGTCAAGATTCGTCACAGCTCAACCTTGGAGGCCGCTGTCGCCACTAGATTGGGGAGTATTCATTTTACCTCTCTTTGATTTTCAATTCAATATATGTTTTAGGACAAAACGGAATAAATGATGGGGGAAGGATAAGAATGTTGTCAAATTTTTCCTTGACTTATTTGATTGTTTGAAATTGAGTTGTTCTGATATTGATGTGTTGAGATCATTGGTTGTTAGTCTTGAACTTCACCTTATACTCTTGCTTCCTTTTGGATTGTGATCATGTTTTGATCGAATTTAATTTGCATGATTGGTGATTGGTATAGCTGGTGAATTTTTTGTTGAGTATTGATATTTTATGCTTTTGTCGATAGAGATGAACTTGACTCAATGCATATAAATTTTTCTTGTAAGATTTGAGCCTAACGAGCATACATTTTCTTTCTTGCTCATTGTTTGAATTGTGTGTGTCGGACTAATTAGGATGTTCTAGAACTTGTAATCAAAATGTATATCGAGACTACATGTTGAACGTAATGTTTTAATGTGATAGGGGAACCTAGGATAAACCCATTTTTCCCAAAAAGCCTACCCGTTTATATATCCACTAGTGACCCATATTTGAGCCTATTTCCCTTTCTTTGTTTTACACCTCATAATTAAACCCGAAACCTTTCTTTTTCTTCTCTTTTCACACCCTTGCCGAGACTTGAAGATCTTGTATCAATCATGTTCCACGAAAAAAATCACTGTTTCAAAAAAAAATCGGAAAATAACAAGTTGTTCACTGTTTCAAACAGCAAAAAAAAAAAAAACCATTCGTTTGAAGAAAAAAAGGAAAAATTGATCGTTTCAATTGTCTTTAATCTATTTTTTTCCTTGTTTTGTTTTCCATTTGTGCTTCATGTTAATTCGTGGATTGTTCTTAATTATTGTGATTTCTTGTCTTGGTATTTTAAATCTTTCTTTTTGACCTTTTCCCTACCCTAATCTAAGCCTCGTTACACATTATTTAAGACCCCTTGATTATTGCATTATGTTCATTTTTCGTAGTGGAGACTTGATTGGATTCCAAGCCTATGGTAATGTTTTGGTTAGTTTCGGTTTGAGCAATTTCATTTACCTCAAACACTTTGAGCGGATAAGTTTGAATTTTTGTGAGGTATTAAGTCATGTTTCATTGAAGTTGGAAATTAATTGAGATGTCTTGCTTACTTTAAATTTTCTTAGTTGTGTCTTTGCTTGATTGTAACTTTAATTCGGCAAATATCATTGACTTAGTTTGATTGGAAGTTTGAGGAATAAATTGAAATTGAATATGACAACTTATGATTTTGATATGTTAATTGATGAATGTTTGAGGACAAGCATTGAATATGTGAGGGGGAATTTGATAAGTGCTTAATTTAGTTAATATTTTACTTTTAAATTACTCCTCAATCATTGGTTTTTGTGGCTTAATTGTTCGTTTTCATTCATTTTATGTGCAGGACATCAGATTCTAGAAATTGCACTGAAAGGAAAGAATTCTGCAGTTTTTTTTATTTTCGGAATCAAAGCTGGATTAATGGGCATGAACTCGGGCATGAAACATCCGACATGGCAATAATGTCAGCACCTTCTAGAAGATCCAGTTAGTGTTTCTAGATGAACGAATGAATTGGTCACACGTTTCTGGAATACGGATTTGGATTAAACTCAAGTTTTAGGATAATATTTTAAACATTATATTTTATCTTTGTATTTTAGTTTAAATAGATGTTAGTATTTCAATTAGGATTTAGGATATTATTTTAGATAGTATTTTAGTTTATCTTTGTTTTAGGTATTTTAGTTTAAATAGTTTTAAGTGTTTTTATTAAGATAAAAGATATTATTTTAGGAATTATCTTTAGCTTATTTTTAGGAATTTGAAGGCTATAAATACCCTCTAAGGGTGAGCCAAGAAACATATTTCTCTTATCTAAGAATTAAATCTTCTTTTTCTCTCTAGCTTTCTCTCTATTTTTCGCACACTTCTTTATTTCTTTTAAATTTTGTTTTCAAAAATTACGCTAAGTATGACTTTGGTCATGGTTAAATAATTTTCTTTTAAGTCGAGGCTAAAGCGAAGGCTAAATTCCAAACGTGAGACTTGTAAGGTACTTAAATATCTTCAGATTTCTCTCTCTGTCTTCTGAGCTTACTTTTCAAATCAAAATAATTTCGAAATTGGTCCGGATGTTGTTATGGTTAATGTTTGAAGAATGATTGGCTTATTGAAGCACATTTGACTTCCTGAGAACATACTTAGCGAAATTGTTTGCTAAGAGAAAACTGATATGGGAATCAATTATTGTTGAAACAACACAATCTGATTTGGCATCAAAGAATTGTCCTTGTAAGCGGCGTGAACCTTGAAGTAAAAATATGTTTCGATGATCCAAGGAATTTGAGACAAAGCTAAAGTCTGAGGCTGCTTTCACTATAAGTTTCTCTTTATCTCAATCTCATTAGATTATTTATTTAATTATTTTCTTTTATTTAATTCTTATCTTTTATTTTAAAAACCCCTTTTTATTTTTACTATTATTATTTATTATTACTTATTTTATTATTTTTTCTTTTTAAATAATAATTATTTATTTTTATTTTATTTCAAACTTCATCTGAAATTATATCCTCCTCTAAATCAAAGAGTTTTACTAAATCACAAAAAACCATAGTCCCCATGGATTGACTCTGCTTCTCTATACTATCTTTTCCTTTCTATTTATTAAGAATTAGAATTTATTTTAATAACATAACGACGGTTATCAGTAATATACATTACAGAGACATCAAAACCTTCATAATAATTAAAAACTAATTGCAGTTTCCTTCCCCACACACATTGGTTAAATAATCCAAATTTTAAAAATTCGAAGTAAACGTACCTTAATTTGAAGGCATGATATAAAAAGATACTCCTAACATTTGATTAGTAATCATTTTAGTTCTTATTCTTTTTTTGGAACATTTTAACACCTAATATTTTATTTTGGGACAAAAAGGCCCCTCTATAAATGAAAATCGTTAACTATCAAACGATTAAGCTCCAAAATAGGAGACTTTTACCCTGAAATGAAAATGTTAAGGGTCAAAATGCTCTAGAAAGAAAGAATAAGAGTGAAAGTAACTATTCGATCAAACGTTAAAGATTTTATTACCCTAAAATAAAATGTTTGAAGCAAGATACTCAAAGAAAAAAACATAAATCAAAATAATCAGTTTAATAAATGCTGGAAGTTAATTTTAATATTATATCTAATTTAGTATGACTAAAATTAAAAATTAATTCTAAAATTTGAATTGATCTTATCGAAGATCAACTTCATTCACCCATTTACGTTTAGTCTATAAATCTTAGTCATTTTTTTTCAAAAGAAACGAATAAAAGTTCTCATTAGAATCATTTTTTTCAGCTGTCACATTACATTTTTATTTTTCCCTTTTCTGTCCTTCCAAACACGAAGAAGAAGAAGAAAGAAAGAAAGAAAGAAAGAAAAAACTCATGCATAATATGCAACAGTCCCTCACATTTTTACAAGCTCATGACCAATCAATAAAGTTAACCAAAAAAAAAAAAACCAGAAAAGAAAACCACACTTTTTTCATTCACGACGCCATTAATAATTTATAGAGCGGAAGGGAAAGAAGAAAGTCTGGCTCCCATATTTGATGATGAAGATGGTGGCGAAATTGTTGCTTCCATACCACCACCAACACCGCCACCAATTTGTCCTTCAATAATATTATCCCACAACACAAAGTTGGAGCATTGCTGGGATTCAACCCATTCATTCAACTCCAGCTGCTGCATCCGTAAGCTCTCCGGTGTTATTTCTCCACCTTCCTCATCCATGCTAGTACAAGACTGAACTTCGACACGAACCATGTTATCTATCAATGGTGGCAAATAATTATTTATGTCCATTGTGAATGAATTTGAAGGAGGAAATGGTAGAACTTGAAGCTGATTGAGATTATTCCAAGTGGTCTCAGTGTTTAAATGAGCTGATTCATGGAAAACCTCTCCTCTTACATTGGCATCTTGAAGCACCTCATCTAGTGGAGTAATTGTTGTGTCAAACATAAATAATGGTGCTTGAGATGAAAATAGGGTTTCTTGAGCAGGGATTGCCAAGTTCTGGTTTGCTAATTCTAATTGATTTGAAGCATAATTTATCTGGAAAGTTTGAATGCTCGGAGCAGTGTTCGTCGGTGAAGATGAAGGCTTTCTTATCTTCTTTTTGATCCATGAATTCCAATAATTTTTTATTTCATTATCTGTTCTTCCAGGCAAGTGAGTTGCAATGTGAGCCCATCTAGAAGAAACAAATGCAGAAAAGATCAGTAGTATGAAACATCAGTCCATTAAATTGTAGTGAAAATGGGAGAAAGTCTTTGTAGCTGTAGAGAATGAAAACAAAAAAAAACGTGTTCTAGAGATGTTAAACATGTGATTTTCTAGCTGAAAACTTTTGTTTAAACATCATGATAATGCCTTTTTAACGCCCTTTGAAGCACCTGTTAGGATTGTCGAAACGATTAACGACAGATGAGTACGCTCGAATAGAAAAATAAAAAGACATCAAAATTTACATGAAAAATCCAGCCACGGACAGAGAAGAACATAAGTTCACTATGTCATAAATACAAGATCTATTACATCTGTTACACCTCAAAATCCTGATCCTTAATTATTATTTATAGGGATCAAATGAAGCATGCCTCGCACTTTTATTACTGATTTGCTTGCAACTTGAAAACGAAAACTAAGAAGGAATTGAGTCATAACCCTAACCGCAACTACTTAAACAACAATAATGGAGCTTGCCTTTTACTTAAAAAAAACTATTGACATTTACAAACAAGACTTAATAGTGAAGTTTTCTTATTTAAGTGATTAACTCCAATATTCGGTTATTAGAAGATTTTCATGATCTTTTAGAATTTTAGAAACAATATATAATCAGAGACCGATACAAAATTTTAAGAAAAAAATTATAAATAAATGGAATTAACCTGTTTCCTACAACCCCATGGAGGCTAATAATCAACTTCTCTTCCTCAGGAGTAAACCTCCCTCTTCTAATATCAGGCCTCAGATAATTAATCCATCTCAGCCGACAACTTTTCCCACATCTCTGAAGACCTAAAATCAAAACGAAGAACACTTAGCAAAAGAATATATATATATATGGAGCAATGACAGAATATAATCACCAGCTTTCTCAGGGACTTCACTCCAACAGCCATAGCCATGAGTGGTGATGAATCGAATGAGCTTTTCATCTTCCTCAGGGGACCAGAGGCCTCTCTTAACCTTTTGTTGATTGCAGCATGAATGGTGACCCATCATATAATTTAATTTCGATCAAAACCCCTTTCTTTCTTCTTTCTAGTTTCGGCTGATTTCTCAATCTTTTGCTAAATTTGATCAAAATTAGTAAAAGAAAATATAAAAAACAAGTATAGTTCTTTGGGATTTGGAACAGGTGCTCCATTTAAATGTCTGGAGAAGTACAAAATACCGACATTGAAACAGGATGGGGTCCATCATTCAAAGGGGCCCTACAATATTTTTCATCTAACCCTAAAAAAGACATTTCATCAGCTTCTATTCACCCGGAGAACAACATTTTCTACATAGAGTTGTATTACGTAATTCAGATAACCATGTTCTCACGTACCCTTCATTCAATTCTTTCAAAATCTTTAGCCTGTTGTTTGTTTTCCCTCACTTATTTTTTTTTAATCTATCTCTAATTATTTATTGTTTTAATTAGGGATTTAAATTGCACTTATGATCACGTTTTCAGTTACATTACGTTTATCTCTAATTATTTTATTTAGCATACTTTTATAATGTTACATTTTTACTCGGTGACAATATAATTTATTAATAAAAATGAAGCTTCCTTGTAATGTGTTTAGGTATTTAGAATTAATAATAATGTTAGATATTATCGTTAAAAAATCATATTTAATCGATAATAAATTTAGACGTTATGAATTTTTTTAGAACTTTTTAAAAAATTACATGTTATCGTCTCAATAAAAATAAACTAATGATAGAAATTTGGATTTATTAATAATATTATAAAAATAAAATATGAAATTATGTCCAATTAAATTTTAATATAAAGATTAAATTATAAAATCAGTGTACATAGGGATTATAAAACTTTTTTTTAAACAATTATGCCTAGAAAAGAGGGTAAAGTTAAGAGTTCTACCGTGTGGCACGTTTAATATAACACTTTTGTGAATCGTAATATTACTATTAAACATGTTGGTCTTCACTACTTGCATGATGCAAATTTTATTTTATTTTCTTTAAAGATTGGACTCTATTTTGGGGGCTCTTTTGCTTGATTAATTTTGATACATAAATATAATTATTGCTTTTACTATTGATATAATCATTTATTTATTTAATATAAATTTGATATTAAACTTTGAGAAGTTTAATTCTTTCATATTTTTTCTTAATATTCTTCATCCAATGTATTTAATCGATCTATTTTTCTTTATTTTAATACTTTTTCATTTTTACTTTTCTTCTAAATTTGATAAGTAAACTTATAAATTAATTACAGCAAATTATACCATACAGGGATGTTTAAATGGTCGGTTTAGTCACCCAACCGATCTAATATTCATTAATCAAATTAATCTAATTTTTTTAATCGTTAATCTAGTTAAACTTTTTTTAGACTATTAACCGAACCGAATAAAGTTTAGTTACTTTCGTCGGTGACCGAATTAACTAAATTTTTTTTAGTTAGATTACTTGAGTTTAATAGAGATATTTTTTTATTTGAGTTAAAATTTAATTGAGTCTTGACAATTTAATGAGTCTAGTATAGTTAACAAATAATTTGGTCTTAGTTATTAATGAGTTTGAGCTTAAAATGTGTATTTAATATACATAATATATTAAATATTTAATATTTTTAGTTAATTCAGTTAATTAATAAATTTCGAACAGAATTAACTATTACCGAATATTAAAAAAACGTTCTCCAACCGAATTATTTCGATTAAGTCAATTTCGAGAAGTGAAGACCCCTAATTCTATATATATATATATATATATATATATGGGTTAGGATCCGCTTACATAATGTAAAACTCTTTAGTTTTACATAGATTTAGGACCGTTTGATGAGTGAAAACAGATCACTGAATATCTTCTTATTTTTTAATATTAATCTCAACCATTTATTTTTACTCATCCAACTGTCTTAAATCTGTGTAACTAATTTTTTTTACATTGTACATAATTATTTCTCTCTATATATATATATCGAAACAAAAGTATACCATATATAAATGGAGAGTAATTTTATAAGCCGATAAATGTTATATCGGAAAGTCCAAATTATAAGACCGTTTAAGAAGAATGCCGACAGAGAGATGTTGAAACACAAAGTTTATATATAAAAAGGGAATGATTGTAATACAAGACTCTCATGAGTTGGGAGACAATTTGAGAGGCTATGAAAATGAAGTCAATTTTGATTTTTCTTCATACTCGCTTAATCATGGGATAATACTTATATATCACCCACTATTCAAAGAACATGACTTTTTTTTTCTTCCGGTTCTAAAATTTTGTCTTGATTAATCCTGATCGATCCGGATTACACACAACATATTTAATTTTGGTGGGTGAGTTTATCAACAGAGATTTTCGACATACACATATACTTGAACTCAAGATTTATTTAAACAATATCAAATTACTTACTACTTGAATCAATCCTGTCATAGACATGACCTCATTTCTAATTCTTATTTATTATCATTACAATTGTTTCTCTCTTTATTGATTGTTTCACTAATCTTGATGACGGTTGCATCACGTAACTCATGAAACTCCATGTCACCTATATATCATTTCAGACCAAACTTAATTTAGTTTTCTTCATTAAATGGAAAAAAAACGTAACATTAATTGAGATATTTCCTGTATTAAACTATGGCTGTAACTGTCTAAAGATATGTTAATTGTCTGGTCTTGTAGGAGCGGTTCACTGTCTAAATATTTACCGTAAGTGAATATACAACAAATACGTACGTAGCATGGTTAATGTCACGTAATGTAATCCTATTTGATTTGATGAGATTTATCAAAATGAATCTAAACAGGACATAAAATTTTACATTAGAGGATTAATTTATAAAATTTTAAGAGGAACAAACATATAAAATTTTATGAGAATAGAAATAGATTTTTAATAAAAAAATATATAAAAAAATATAAAATATATATGAATCTGAAAATTTTAAGGTAACGAATGCCCTCATCTTGTTTGCAAATCTCATTTTGGATGAACATAACTTGAAATATAATCATAATTCTTTCTTTATCGATAACAACTAAACTTTTGTGAAATGTTTCAATCAAAATTTATTTTTTCCTTCCCATCGTATGTAACAATCTAAGCTATATGAACACAAACTTTCAGCATAAATTTCTCGCATTCTGATATATATATATTCAGTTCTTAAACAATTTTGATAAAAAATTATTTTGCGCATCAAATATTTTATTTTATTTAAAAATTTATATACAATGAATATAAAATGGTCCAAAAAATCCATACAAGATCCAAACTTAAATCAAAAAATAATTCTAGAATCTCTTATTATTGCATCTATTAATCTTTTATCGTTTCACTAATCAACTCTCAATCAAGGTTTGAAAAAATATTACAACCCCAACAAACATTTAAAGACCTCAACAAATATTTAAAGATTCTAAAAAAAAATACCGTCAAAAGACAGCGAAACCAGCAACAACTGCCTTAGAAAGTTCCCTTGTTCTTAGTTCTATAAATCAATATCCAAAATCAAATGATAAAAAATACTGTAAATTACTCGTTTAGCACTTAAAATTTCAGTTTTGGTCCATTTTAGTACTTAAACTTTTAATTTTTTCAACCATATCTAATGTATAGTTTTTGTTTCATTTAGTACTGTTAAAAACTTAACGTTAAGTTTTGAAAAAAATTTGAAAGTTTAGGTACTAAAACGGACCAAAACCGATAGTTTAGGTACTAAACCCGTTAAGCTTTTAACAGCGACATACTAAAATGAAACAAAAATTAAACGTTACGTATTATTTTGAAAAAAATTGAAAGTTTTGTTATTAAAATGGATCAAACTGATAATTTAGGTATTCAATGCATACTTTACCCTAAAAAATAGAACCAAGAAATATAGGAAACTAGGGGTTCAATAGCTAATAATCTAAATTTGTATTGTACCCAATCATGGGTAGAGTGCAACGCACACTAACAAAGATTAAAAAAGGATTATTATATATTTTATATATGATTTTCGTCTTGTGATACATCAAGGTTAGTTAGAAATTAAAATAAAAACTAGGGAATTTCTGAATTTGTATGGTTTGTTCAGGTGTGAGAAACGTTTTTAATGTACATGTAGATGGATAAAAAATATATATGAAGACATTTGTGATAGTGGAAGGGGTGGTTTGTGTTGATTGATTCGAATCAACTCACCGCATTTGATGTGAAAAATTAAAAAAGGAAAAGACATTTTGCTTGGATGCATCGCAAGCTAAGCTTTGAAAGTAATCATTTTAAAAGAGAGCTTTAGGGGAAGGGTAAGGATTGAAAGGCCTGAATCATTATATGCTTAGCTTTAAGGAGGAGCAATGGAGTGGGGAAATGGACCTACCATATTCGGAAATTAAGATCCTGGTTATTACAAAAGCATGGTTTGGTTGAGTTATCACTCATGGATGCAATATCTCTAGTCTCTACCATAAGCTCTTTCTTTTAATAGTATAGGTGACAACTATCGTTTTGATGTCAAAATAAATTCCTTCTTCTCAATTAATGAATAAGGAAATACGTAGTAAAGAGAAGTAAGGATCGATCTTCAGGGACTTAGAAAATTCCAAATTAATGTTTGAATGGTTTTAACCAGGCGAAAAGTAGTAAAATGGGGGATTTTGGTAAAATGAGATTAAATAGTAAAAAGAGATTAAATGAATAAAGGCAATTAAAGTAAAAATAAGAGAATAAAGATTGTAAATGAATACGGTAAAAATAGCCTCAAGCCTCGCTTTGACTCAATTTCCTTCAGATCATCGAATAAGATATTCCCTTCGAGATTCACGTCGATTACTTTGTCTACAAGGTCAATCCTCTTGACTCTATTTTGTATACCAAATACCTAAGGCAATCTTTGATTCTGGCTTCGAAAACTGATCTGATCAACATCAATTGTCGTAGATCAATTATAGTTTAAGTTCGTGACGACCGACTCAGAGTGTTTTTTCAATAACCATTAATTTCGATCTCAATTCCCTCTTGGCAATGCTATCTTGCCAAGTGTGTTCCCAGGAAGTCGAATGTGCTTTCAACAAACCAATCCTTCCTCCCACACAGTTAATCGCAACAAC